TGGAGGATCAATATTTGAACTTTTGCTGAGAATATGCGGTGTTTATATTTAATGTCTAATAGTACTTCGAATAAGATTGCTTCTAATAGCAGGATACCTGTGTCTAATAAAAGCTGAACCTTGAAAAGGGTGTTGAACCTAGTGAAAGAGATTAGTTCCTCACAATATGACGAATTAATGTCTAAATTCTTATTAGGAGAGGTGCAGTGCTTAGATTCAGTACCTAACAGTATTTTGAATTACTTCCAGTAGCAGAATATACGTGCCTAGCAAAAAAAAAAAAAAAATCCTCGGGTGTTTATAGAAGTACTTACAGGTCATCTACTAATAAGATCCTTATATTGATAATGAGATTCAAACTAACGATCTTGTGAGTTATAAACTGATTTCTTACTAACAAAACTAACTCTTATTGGCAACATTTGTTTATTTTGCACATTTATTTATTTCTTGGAGGGAAAAGACTCAGAGACCCAGTCACCGAATAAAGTTTAAGGAGTATGATATTATGGGACGTTGTAAAGAAACTAAATTATATTGCCTGTTTGAATTCACTTTAGAATTAATCATAAGAGAAAAAATTTATGGTTTCCTTTAAAAGTGCCCGAACACAGCTATAATGATCCAAAATTAATTATAGAACTAAAACCATGAGCATCTAGTAAGCTATTATTACCTACTTTTCAATTCTGTTTTTCAAATTATACTCAAAATTAATCATTAAATCAATTACAATCAACCTCAATGATTCCAATTCAAATCTAAAATTAAAGGAAAAATCTAAACACGCCCTCATCAAAGTTAAGTACAATTTCTAACAGAACTCCTATAATTTCCAACTAAAATTCCGCTATTTCCAACGAAAGTTCAATATCTTTTGAATCAGCATTTTTTAATTAGGGACAATATAACTTTTAATCTCTTAAATTTGTCTTCGTTTTAATTTTGGTCTCTTTAGAGACCAATATTTTAAAAGAAAACAAAAATTGAGGGACCAAAATCAAAATACAAGCAAATTTACCCCTTTAATTATAATTATTCTTCTCCCAAAGTGTCAATCTCCCTAAAGGTTATGTGATAACCAATCGATATTAGTGAATGTATGAAAAAATTCATTTAATTTCTTCACCCCAAAATTATCCTTATTCTTATAAAATTATTATTGAGAAATAACAAAAGGAGATTTATAGCTTTTTTATAAGTACATTTATCATTGTATGAGAGACAATTCCATTCAAAATATTACTCCCTCCGTTCCTTATTATAAGAGACAAATAACTAAATTACGTTGATAAAAAAAATAGTTAAAATTAGTTAAGGACAATTAATATGTAAAAAGTATAATATTTTTTCCAACAATACCCCCATTAATAAGGAGAGAAAGTATGAGAAAGAACAATTAAATTATTAAAAGAAAGAGAAGTGGGAGGGAGAGAGAGTATGAGTTGGAGACAAAATAAATAGGGTAAAATAGGAAATCAATACAAAAAAATAAAAACAACTTTTAAGTATCTCTTATACATGAAAACATGCTATAAGCATCAAATGTCTCTTATAATAAGGAACGGAGGGAGTATTAGATATTATATATATATATATGTGTGTGTGTGTGTGTGTGTGTGTGTAGTGCTAGCATCTAATAATATCTCGGGGAAATTGAAAAAAAACAAAAGGGTTATGACTGCAATGGTAGTCTTGACGGAGCCCAGGCCTGAGGTATAGCTGATGTCTAGTACTTGTGATTACAAGGCCTGGCCCAAACCTATCTTCAGGTTCCTCACTTATTTTCAGTCCCCATTTGAAGTTTCAAAACACAAAAATGTTATAGATTTTCTTTTTCATACTTGACATAACAATAGACAGGGTAACCTCAAAAACACTTCTCAGAAGTATTTTTTTGTAAATCGAGTAAATTTTTTCATATATTTACTTCGTATACCGTAAAACACTTTTAAAACTATGGTTTTGTTTTTACCTAAACACTCCCTAAAAATATATATCTACACACATACAAATATATTGCTCCTCACTTTTAATATGTTTCACAGAAATTAAAAAAAATATTACACTTTATTAACTATGTATTCAAATTTAATAACTTTTTAATTTTATTTCTACTTAATATATACACACACACATATACTTTCGGAGAAAATAACATACTTCTAACAATGAATAATGGGTAAAATTATATCACATAATAAATTTGATGAGGTGACTTATATTAGGAATAAAAAATACTACTCTATTTTTATGTGTTCCATAAATAAAACTAGAGAAATATGAAATTAAAAAAAAATCAGTTCGATCTTATAAAAAAAAATTGCACAAGCGCATTGTTCTCATAAGTCATGAGAAAATAAAACATAACTCTAATCCTTTTCAAATGAAGAAAAAACATTTGGATGGGTAAAATTCTGAGATCAGAATTAATTAGTGATGCCCAAAAGTTTGAGAACTCCTGGTAATATGAATTGAATCTAATTCATTACAATCTAAGAAGTAAGGTTTAAGTCTTCAATAAAGTAGATGTAACAAGAGATGTCTATGTTAAATATCCATCGTTACCTTAAATATGATTATCAATAATAATAATAATAATAATAATACAATAATAAGAGGATACGTCTACTTATATATAAAGTTTGAGACCTCCTACTATTATAATCCCTTCTATTAGAATAGTAATTGGTTGCAATTAATTTTCCATATCAATATCTTGAAAATAAAATAAGGAAATGGGTGGTTAGCACATGCCTCTTTACCGAGAAATTTTACCATTCATTTGATTAGACATTTGAATTTTAATTCTTGTGTATTTATTAATATTATTATGATAACTCATATACCTTTTTAGTAGTAACTAAATAAATATATTTAATTAAATGTTACAATCAGCAACCTTTCATTTTTAAATCAAATAAATCAATTTTCTTAAAATATGAAATATATAAAAAATTTGTGCTGTTTATAAATTATGAATAATTCAATCTAATTTAAAAATCGGTAAAAATAAATTTGTTTTTTCAATCTTTATTTCTCCAACTAGACTATCATTCGCTAGTTTATATTATACTATTTCTGGTCTTAATTATAAGATTTCGTTTATAAACTTCAAAGTTAGTATATAATTGGCTAGTAAGGGGCTAAAGGCTAACCTTTCTTGATGTTTAGAAGATAAGGAATAGACTCTTCTCAAATCTCAGTTAGCTTTGTTGGAAATACAGGTGTTGGAAATCAGTTATTCTTTCCATCTTTATTATCCAATTTTATTAATTTCAAGATGATTATTCACATTTTAACAAGATGTAAATATTAAAAAATAACAAAAATTGTTAAAAAGCATCTCCTTAAAATACTTACTACTCAAGTCCTTTCAAATTTCTTTAAAAAAATATATCTCGAAGGAAGAAGAAGAAAGAAGAATGGGAAGGATAAGAGAGAGAGAGAAGCACGTGAAACATGATAACAAAAAAGGAATGACCTTATTCGCACATTATTCATATTAGGATTTGCCATTCCTCATTATTGTGTCCTCCACTCCCACCTCTCTGCAACTTTCACTTTCTGAAAATACCTGAATTTTTATCAAGTTTTGATGGTTTGGATTTTTTGAAAACCATTTTAATTAAATCCATATTACTCTTTCTAACTCTCATTATAACGTGTTTCATAATATAACATATTCTATGTCTAAAATATCAACTTTTTTCCAAATAATATCCCTAACTGATTATAAAATTTCCCAACTAATTAACTAAACTCTTCTAATTAATAACTTATGTTATCATAAATAACTAATTTTTGAACTTATGCAAAGGATCTGTGCATACTCATGCTCCATTTTTATGTTAATGACTTCGTTCAATTTCGTGAGCTTTTTATAACATAAAAATTTGCTCAGGTAACAAAAAAAAAACATAAAATTCATAAATAAATCTTCATGATTTATGAGTTTTTTTTTTTAAAATGTGATCCTAATTAGTATAATTGTATAAAAATAAAGTAGATTTTCCGAATAAAGATGCATGATTTATGACAAGGAAAAAATATGCATCACGAAACAAGTTCAACTAGCCCATCATGTTAATAAATTAAATTTTGTGGAATGAAATCATACGCAATTGATTTTTATTATTTCTAGATACCCGGAAGTGTTTGGAAAACACGGAGTGTTTTGATCCAAAATCCCCATTGAGTACCTTATAATATATGAATAAATAAATAATTAAAAAAAGAACCCAGCAAATAAATAAATATATACATTAAAACAGATGTTGGCAATTCAAGCAAAAGATGTTTTTGGTCATTATTACTCCCTGTAATACTAAATATAAGAATTAAATGATTAATTTATAAATATAAAAATTAATTATGTTAATTATATGTAAAAAAATGTGTTAATTTTTTTAAAATCCTCTCTTTAACCATTATTTGCATCGAAAAATGAAACTAAACGTTTATAAAGGCTCCTTTATTATACACATTATTATTTAAAATTAAAATAAAATCCTAAGGCTGCGCATCCCCATTTGGACTTATCAGAAGACCTTCCCCTTTCAAGCTGTCTAGCTACCCAGAGAACCAGAGTCACCAGAAATCATATCCCCAGAAGCCAGAATCATAACATTTAATGTATTGTGGGTTTCAAAACCCTGAATAAATCTTCAATAGTTCGCATGCAGACTGGAAGAAGGGAAAATAAGAGACAATATACTCCTTGCATACCTGGATCCTCCTAGTTATTTCTGATTTGTTTAACTCGTTTTTTGTTCCTGATTTTCTTGGTTAGAAAGTTGAATATTGAATATTTTTTTTGGGGGGGGGGGGGGAGTAATGTGAAGGACAGAGAAAGGCGAACCTGTAAAAGGTTAAAGATGACCCCAGAAACAAACAACACGCGATTTCCAAAACAAGACAAGCAGCTTTCCTTCCTTCCATTGTTTTTTTTCTGTATATTCTATTCAGTATTCACAGTGTCATGACAAAACCCCTCACTTCATGCTCTTCTTCACAAAATGCACACCCACCGACATATTTTCTATTTCCTACTTCCCATTTTCCCTTCTGAGGATCAAAAAATTTAACAAAAATGAAAATGAGAAGATCGAAGAAGAAGAAGACGACAAAACCTCGGTCGTATCTTCAGTGGTTTTCTGAGAAGACGCCCTCTTCTCCTTCTCCTTCCCCGAGGAACCTCGCCAGAACTCCATCATCCCACTCGCAATCAAACTCGTTACACCCAATCACTGCACCCTCCTCACGCGTTGTGTCATTGCGCGAAGCCGACGCGCTTTTCTCCTTGCTCAGCGCTTCCACCGAATCCACCAGCTTCCTCCTCAACCCATTCGTGTCGACGCTGGCCATCACGGACGTGCCGGAATCGGAGAACGAAGACCCACAGCTCTCTTCATTGCCGTTTATGGTGATGTACGACGAAGAGGATTGAAAAACCAAAAGCGACGAGTACGGGTCGTCGATGAACCTCACTCTACCCACTGCGCTTTCTGGTTCCGCCACCGCATCTTCCACTTGCTCCAACAGGTTCATAAGCTCTCCGCCGGACCCATCGTCGTCCATCAACAACCAAGCCAAAACGTCCTCCGCGACGGCGCCGTCATCAGCCGACAAGCCCTGAGCGTCGGTGTGAGCTTCCATAGGTCAGAATCGGAAGAGAACGGAGAATAGGAAGGGTTGTACCGTGCGATAGGGTTTAGAAGTAAGGTTGAGGAGAGGGATTAGAGGGATCTCAGGAAACGGGAGGGAGGGAGGGAGGGAGGAGGAAGAGGGAGGGAAGTATCTGGAAGGGACCCACAAGGAAGGAGGGAGAAGATAAACGATATGATGAGAGATTTTGAAAAGATCGATGGTGGCCGTTGATTCGAGGATGACACGTGGCAGGAGGAAGGGGTTGACGTGGCGACGCGTTGAGAAAGATACTACTAGAGACCAAAAATTGGCGGGAAAGAGAGAGAGAGAGAGAGAGAGGGAGAGAGATAGAGGAACGTACGCAGTGGGCATTTGCGGAGTTCGGAGAGTGACTTGGACTGGACTGTTACAGGACGTGCGGCGTCACGTTTATTGCATTTGCTGCGGCTTTGCCTTTTTCCTAATTTTATATTATTTTTTTCTACTTTTTTGTTGTTGCGGTAATTAAAAATGTTCATAAAAATTTATCGGTTTTTTTAATCAAAATACTATAAAATATTGCCTGCAACAAATGCTAATATCATACGAAACTCCAAAAACAAATTGTATTATAATTAATATATAATTTGATTTATTTTATACATATAAAATTTTAATTCACTTTATCTCATTTTTTTAAAACTAAATTACTAAAAGCTATATAGGATTGTTTTAGAGAAATCATGATATTTATTATAATTAACTAATCTATTTAATTTCACTAATATAACAAATTAATTATTTCTTATATTAAAAGTCAGAAAGTACCAATTACCAAGTTTAAAATTTAGCTTTACGTAAATCATATTAGCGAAGATTCTTGCGAAGGTCTAATGCCGGGTGATAGTGTCAAGTAATTTGAGAAGATTTGTAGTCTTAACTCTTGAGCTATACTGCGTTTGTATTTACTATCTTCAGTTCTTAATATAAAATCTTATTTAATTTGAATTTGATCTTAAATATAAGATTTCAATATATTTTTTCTCTCATATTTATACATTTTTTCTCAACTGAAATCTTCTACTAATAATAATAGCTCTAACCAATACACTTGATGAGTAAAGATATTTTTAAAAAAACATCTATTCATTATAAATAACTTATTTAACTTATTTTTTTAATCTCCTCAAATTAATAAGCTAGCTTTTATAATTAAGACTGGAAATAATATAATTCAATCTGATTCTGAAAATTTTTGCTGAACAATAAATTGAATATTCACACGTTACGCTTGTGCATGAAAGACAAATAACATTTAAGCCTCAGAATTTACAACTAAAATTCTCATATTTACATTTCTCTCAAATGTTGTTCACTCATTTGTAACTCGACAAAATTTAAAAACCCGAGCGTAAAATTTATGACCCAAAAAAAGGTATCCCATTCAAAATTCATGCACAGAATAAACTGATCTTGTGTTTTTGTGCCACACATAAGGACCCACATCAAGGCATTATTATTGTGATCATTGCCCTTTTTCTGGTCATTGTCACCATTACTACCATCTTCATTGCAAACATTATTTCCATTATCATCACCAACAACATGCATGCCTGCCAACATCACTTTCTTCATCATTGTCCCAAAAACCAAAATATCATGGTCACCAAGTCCCCATCTTTAAAAGATTAGCTTTTTATACTCTCCCTCTCCATTCAAGGGGTTGAAAGGGACTGTAACCTGAACAATTCATTTTACCAGCCACACCAACAATTGAAACAGCTACAGGCATAAGCCAAGGGTTCAACTTCATAATCTCTAAAATGATCATCCAAATTAAATTAAACGCTATCAAATCCCTCACTGTTCTGCGCTTCAACCTAAGATTCCCCCAATTGGGTTTTCTATCTGGGTGTCTTCTAGAACCAAAGAAACATCACAACAAATGTAATAGTAATTGATGAACATGAGTTACATGGTGGCTACAAATGATTATACATTCAGACCACAGACCAGTCAGAGACAACTCACTGCCTGCAACATTTGTATCACTTTTCAGATTTGGAGGCGCATTCCACAACATGGGCCTTGAATTTCTCAAGCTCTGCCAAAACCTCCTCCTCTGGTCGGTAGATCAAGTCGCTCATGCGCCATATCTGCACAAATCATTTAACATTTCACATAAAATCTTAGCTGACGAAATAATTTTACTCTTTTACAACGATCTTAGAACATCTTCCAGATAATATGTCAGCAAACGTACAAGAAACATACAGGTTACACAAATTATCAAGGGAAGCCATTTTCTACATTTCCTGATATGATGATATACCAGCAGAAAGAATTCCAAGTTAACTCAAAGTTTAACCCTAAAACAGAATTTTGTAAAGCATACCATCCTACGGAGTTCTACAACAGCTCAGACTACTATGTGACCACAAATGAAGATAAGAACAAACATACATAGTTGATCTTGGAAACTTTCTGCAAATTACTTGATCAATCACATGGTTAAAAAGAAAATAATGGCTTCCAGACTACACTGAAGGATGAGGAAAATTTCATACCTGCAATGTTCCACCTCCACCAGTACTATCACAGTCGTCGGACACACTAACAATTGTCCATGGATCATATGCGTTCCAGTGGAAGTCAACAACCTTGTCTCTGCACAGGAATACAAACTTCATTAAATGGAACGAGACAAAAAAATGTGGTACAGAACAAGGACTCGCAAATATTTCAACAAAACAAAGTTAGCACAATTAAAATTTTTGCTAATTGTATTCTTGAAAAAACATCCAATAGCATTTACCGGGCAGTCTTTAACATGAGAATAAAAATTCATATGGAAAAAAAAAAAAAAACAAAACTAACTACATATGACTTAAAAATACACAGAATACAAACTAGCTCGGTGCGTTCAATAAGTTGAATTTGGAAAGAACACTTCAGGAGTTAACATAACAAATTTGCAGCAATCCAAATGAGTATTATTATGAATCAGTATTCAGTCCTATAGAGTCTGTGGACAGCAAAATGAAATGATGCAGAGTTTGTAGATAGCATGAAAATTTTATTATGAAATTGACGCCAATATACAAAAGACTGACCTCATAAGCACATTAAAAATGTCTATAAAAATGGAAATCTTAAAGATAAATATTAAGTCCTAGTAATAAAATAACAAAATATCAAGGAAAAACAAGTAAGAAGCTACACGAGATTAATGAAAAATAATGACAACATAAGGAGATTAAAGAAATTTATTTTCTCTGTCCTACTTTAGTTCGCCTTTCTAATTGAGGTGAATGAAAGGCTAACTAAAGTAAATTCAGGTTGACAAGGAACAGAGGAAGATGCACTCTCATACCTGTGGCCAGCATGTTGAAATAACAAACCAGGAGAACCTTGTGCTTTTCCTGTTCGTTCTGTCTTTTTCCCAATCTGAATTACAGAACAAAAGCAAAAGATGTTGAAATAACCACCATCTTCATCTCAGGCAATCCACCTGAAGGTAATGAGACTCAACCAGATTGGAAACGCACCTTATCATAATCCCAAATATTTAAGAGGCCATCTTCTGCAGAACTTCCAAATACAGATGATTTGTCTGGAGACCACTGAAAAAACACATTGAAAATAGAAACTAGTCAACATATTTTGCAGCAGAATCAGAACTAGCCCCAACACATGCCAAACGAATAAATGCCACCATATCCACAGTCACCTGAACACAGAGAACAGCAGCTTTGTGACCCTCAAATTTATGGATAGGTGACCCAACTCCATTAGAGGTAAGATTACGCCGGTCAAACATGCGGACAGAATTATCTGCTGACCTGGAGAGATATCATGACAAGGTCAAATGAGGACATGATACTCTATCAACTTGCTTATAATGCTGAAACACAGAAAGCGATTCTACTGAATTGCAAGTTTGTACTAAATAAATTGATGAACTAGGGATAATGGGGAACATGCAGCAGCAGAACATACCCAGTGAGAATAAGATTAACATCATTGGGATTCCAGTCAACACAGTGAAGATCAGCATTATGAGCTTTTTCAACCTGCCACCAAGTCAGAAAGGAAGAAAATGAAAACAAAAGATAAGGGAAAAGAAAAGTGTCAATATGATGAGCATTCAAAAGAGAAAGGTTCAGTAAACCAACATCTTAACAAAAATTTTCAAAGTTACAAAAAGCACAGGATAGATAGACCCATTGTAATTCACTTTGTATGATTTTGTTTTGGAAAAAAATTGACTTTATCACTCACCAAGAAATACACCTCATCCTGAAAACAAAACAATTAGATGATTTAAGTGAAGAGCACACAACCTTCACCACAGGACTGGTGCCAACACGTGCATCCCACAATATGAGACATGAGTCATCTCCAACACTACAGAACTCCTGTGCACTTCAACATGATTATAAAGATGTCAGGATGACACGGCAAACTAATAAACCTCAATTATAGTTCCTGCTGCCAATAAAGTGCAAAAAACACATGGCCCAATCAGAGAGCGCGTGCATGCAAGAGATTTTATATATTCAAGAGATTTAAAGGGAATTTGGTCCAACTCTCTCCCTCCCAGTTTTTCTCAACTTAGTCTAAAAATGGGAATAGATAGCACATTCAGAACAGAAGTTTTCGCTCTAAGGTATACTTACAAAAATTCAACTGGAAGAACTAGCTTATTGAAGGTGAAGGTTTAAGATTTCCACATAAGGATAACCACTTCACGGAGTGAAATCAAAAGAAGAAGAGTCCCTAAAGGAGAATATGATAGTCACTTGAGGATTAGTACAAAAATTACCTAAAAGGACAGAAAGTCACATCTTCAACAGTATCCTCATGCCCTTGAAAGATGCCTCGGGGTCCAACAGACGGCCCATCAGCAGTTTTGTCATTGCCTTCCCCAGATTTAGAGTTCTGTTTTGACTCACTAGATTTTGGGTCCATGGCACCTGATGATATATGGTCCTGAATACTCCACAAAACCACTGACTTGTCTTTTCCTGAAATGGCACTTATTTCTTTCAGAAAGAGTATTCACAAAGATCAAATTCAGTTCATTTTAGAAACAATTCATGACTAACTAGAAAAATGTCAGTAACGGCAACATTTGCTACTCCTTTTAGAATAGAATAAGAGTAACCGAAAGACAAGAAAGGTAATTCAGCCTGCTGAAACCATACAGTTCATCAAATCACATTGCAAGATCAATGTTGATATACAGCAAAAGTTGATAATGATTTTTCCTCATAGAAAGGTTCCCAGGATAACTATATACAATTATCTCAAGAAACGAGCAGTTTCAGAACCAAATTATTTAGCAGAAATATTAAAATCTATGCCAACCTCCAGAAAGCACATAGGGTTCAGTTGGGCACATTGCAAGAGCAAATTCAGCATTATCTTGATGTCCAGTCAATATCTGCAAGAAGAAGACTCTGATATATCATTAAGTATAAAAAATGCCTGCTGACAAAATAAAAACAGAAACGACAAAATTGTTTCCATTGGAGTTTCTTTGAAAATAAATGATTCATTGGAAGCAGGGACAAATGAAATCCGTCATTTGTTTCAGGGTGAAGAGGCCAATTTCTACTAGCCATTTCCAAGTATGTCAACTGCATCCCATGTTTCAGCCCTGACATTGATTCCCCACTGCTATATCAATAGCCTCAAATTTCAGATATTACAAGAAAGGATCAGAAAATTTATCCCAAAAGCCATTAACTAAAGCCAGCATCTGACAATAGTCAACAACACATAAGGAAATGTCCTACTTTAAAGGGTGAGTAAAGCATACGCATGAGCATAATCTGCTTCATTCTTCCATAAGATAATAAAAATGGACAGAATTCAAATAGCCAAAAGAGTTTGTATATAGGAGTAATAGTAGTCCATACCAGATCTGGACGAGAGCTTGAAGCTCCAAGGACAGCATGGCGGTTAGGCTGAGTTTCAACGTCCCAAATGAGGACCTGATGATCGTTCATTACTTGTTATGATACCGTACAACAAGGAAATCGCTTATAATAATCAGTTTCAATAAATACACATGAGCAAACAATGGATTTTTACATCAGGGCCATCCGTATGAGTAGCTACTATTTTAGAATTTGTTGGCAATTCCCGAATTCTGTTAACCTGCAAAGTAATGCCCAGAGGTCAGCGTCATAAACATCTACATCTATTAAATATCAAAAGAAATCAAGCTTGCTGTTATAGGATCCATAGGCACAAAGTGTATGCATCAAAGTAATATAGTCACGGATAAAATTTTGCCAAAACCTTCAAACAAGGACAAATGTCAGGTAAATTTCCTTCCCTTAGATATTTGCTTTTAGGTTCTCTGAATTTTTTTTTTTTAATTTGAAAAAACATTCGGAAACTAATAGGGGACTCATAGCAAATACGTTTAGAATTTATATTGGACAAACTAATAACAAATTCATTAAAAAAAACTGCATCTCAGTTTTGTCTTTAAAACAAATCCACAGGAAACTAATGGTCTCAAATATGGTTTTGGGCAAGGACAAGGACTGGGGAGCCAAAAGAGTTCCAATCCATCATTTATATTAATATATAGTATTTAAGTAGGGTTTTAACTCATCTGCCAGTATGAATAAGATTAATACATACCTCTCCCGGATGTATGATGGTCTTATACTTCTTCACAAATGGTGAACGTGTCTCCTCATTAAACTGAAAGAGAAAAAAAGCCATCAATTTGTTGCAGCTTAATTGATTCCTAAACATAATTGTGAAAGCAAAGATGAGAACGATCATCTAATAATAAATCACCTGTGAGATGTGCTCTGCAGCTGCAACCCTAGGCTTCACAACCTCACAGTTTGCGATGACAAGAGTGTTTGGAACGCTGCCATCAGTCTGGAAACAGAATGGGAAATTTTCATTTCAATAAAGGGGATAAAATAAACGAATATGTATAAAAGGGGATTATTCAATCCAACTCAAAGGAGGCCGAGGCTGCAACAGCATCAGCACACACATTGTAATTGTGTGGAAATATAAATGCGCAAACTTTACTCAATTCTACTAGCTTTTGAGGAGGAAAAATTTATAAGACTGAAACTGGCCTGCTCAGAAAGGTAGAGCCGCTGGCGATTCTTGTATGTAGCTTGCTCCAGCTGAGGACCCCACCTATGGGTTTTAAGAATAGTTCAATAGCAGCACATAAAGTGCCAGATAGACATTAACGAGTAAAAACATGGAATTAAGGCTCCCTCAAAATTAGCCCAGAGAAAATCAGAAAACAAATAAATTCGCATAAAAAAACGATATCGCAACGAAGAAGAAAAACCCCAGAATGAGGTTGCACAGAAGAGCAAAACCCTAGAGATAGAGAGAGGAGGGAGAGGGGGAGAGAGACCGGCAAGAGAGAGAGGGCCAAACGAGGTTGTGATTAGCAAGCCAGTCGTAGAGGACAGGAACGAGGGACTTCCACTGGGTGTACTTGTCATCGACAGAGGGAGGAGGGTGAGATTTCTTGTGTTCTTTAGGGGTCTTGGAATGTTGGTGCTGGTCGTCCTTCTTGTCGTCCTTGGGCTTGGGTTTGCGACCCCTTGTCTCCTTCTTCTTCACTACTCCTTGCTGTGGAGTCTCCATGACTCTGATCCCTTCTTCTTCTTCTTCTTCTGCTCTCTCTTTCCCTGCGAGCTACCTCCTAGTGCTTATTCAATGTACTGATACAGTGATATACCACTGCCCCTTTGTTTCGCGCTACTCACACGACCCCCCAAATTCCTCTATTTTCCTTCTGAAGACTTTTGTTTTGGGGACAAATCACAACAGTCCAAATTATTTATCTAAAAATGTTTAATACTTATTTCTAATTTATAATTAATTGGGAAATTATCTCTAATGATGTAGCTTTTAGAATGTGTGTCATATATTTCTTTCCAACTTAAAAGGCAGGTTCATTAGTGATATGAGATTTATTTGGACAAATTTAAAGACAAAAATATAACCAAAGTTTAGAAATTAAGTAAATTATTAATTATTAATTATTAATTACTAATATTAATATCAATATATATTATTAATTATAATATAAAATATATAACGAATTAGATTATTCGCAGCCATAAATAACGTGACTTGCATTTAAAAAACATGAGCTGCATCATTAATATACCTTTGATATTAACTATAAGAGCTAGTCAATAAGTATATTTTAGTCTTAAAGCATAACATTTTAATCCTCTTTTTTAAAAAAAGATTTATAATTTTTCTTTAAACCATCATATTAAAGGGTTTTATCATGAGTTGATTCTAATGCACCTGATTAAAGAAAGTTGTTTTCAAAGAACAACAAACATATATCATTGATAAATAACTAAACTAATTTTTTTAACATCTTTTAAATAAGTTATATAATTATACTGTTCATCAAATGTTTAAAACTCCTTAATTAATATTTGTCTGAATCACCTTAATTTTAATAATTTTACATTATATGAAATAAATATACAAATGAATTTTTATTTTGAAAGGTATAAAACACTTGTTTCAAGCATGTGCCATAACATGATCAAAGCAATACCAGAGGATCACCGTAACATGATCAGTGCAATACCAGAGGATCAAAGGATGTTCAAGAATCGATAAGCTGTGATTAATGATTATGGGTAATTTCAAACGAGAACCATGCGTGGGATGTGCTTTGTAGTTTCTTACCCTACATCTGACCCTTTTTTTTTGTTGGGAAAAGACAAAATCCTCACCGCGAGTTCTAAAAGAAACATAAAAGAAGACTCGCATTAAATATCCTGCCTTTGACTTCATTTTTTGGCCTGAAAATATCTGCCTTTGACTTCAGGGTGTTTGACAATCTCTAAATTATGGTTTCAAAAGCACTTTTTTCTAAAACGAGGTAAATTCTTTCACATATTTACTTTGTAAACCGTAAAAGCACTTCTGAAATTATGATTTGGTTTCTATCCAAACATTTCTTACATCCTACTTTGCAGCGACATTGAAGGGGCAATTGTACCTTTAACTAACTAAGAAGTGTGGCACCGCTCCCGCGTGTTTTAAAAAAAATGATAGAATTAATAATAAATTATTCTATTTCTATTTATTAGTTACTTTCAACATGTTTTACACAGATCAAGAAAAATTTTAAATTTTTGAAATGACATTTAACATTGGGAGAATGATAAAAAAAAAAGGTTAAAAATTTACTAAATTCCCAATCAGGTTTGATAACAACATTTTATTTGATATTGATAATATTGAATATGCAAATGACAAGAAATTTTTATTGACATTCTTTATTTGACATTTACAAATTTTTATCTTATTTTTTGTTATTTTCCCTTTAACGTTTTTATAATTTAGAATGTTGGATGTATTTAAAAAACAATATTAGATATTAGATGTTCACCTAATTAAAGAAAAAGTAACATCCCATCTTACCTTCTAATTTTCTTTATAAAATATTAACCCCAATGCTATATTTAATATATATTAACTAGCATATCCGACCTTCAGTCATTGTTTCCGTAACATCCATCACACAACTTTCTCATGAAAACCTATTCCTACTCCAAATTTCCCATTCACATTTTCTTTCATCCTCCCCCTTTTCAAACAAGCTTTAAGTTAGGCTAAATACCAGATTTGCTATCGATGTATTAAATGTTGATATTGACTGATATTTACCCTGTTAATGTTGATTATGAACATGACAAGCGGGGATCACACCGTTGATTTGTTTGGATTACAGCTTTTGAAAACGAGTTTACGTTGAATGAATGTCAGATAAATTTTGTTTTGAATTATATAAAAACACTCCTGAAAAATTGATACGAACACTTTTGAATTAATTTTTTAGAAACAATTTTACAATACGTACGATATATGTTTAAAAAATTCTCTTTAAATCTCAATAAACTAATCCAAACAAGCTCTACATGTAATTTAAAATCAAATGAAGGTCATACCGCAGTTGTTTTGTTTTCTTGGTAGACTTAAGGATTGTTCTTAGATGTATCATGCTAATTATCTTGTGTATTACTCTTAGTAAAAATTGATAAAAAAATCCTTGATTAAAAATTTAATTAGTTAAAAAACATGAATTTGAACAAATACAACTATGATCTTTGAATAAATCCTCCGTTATGTGCAAAGATATGTTACACTCACAAATTATACTTACACGTGCTCAAATTCAAGTCTTTTTAGTCAATTAAATTTTCAAAAAAAGATTTTTTTACCAATTTTCCCTTATTATTATCAAATTACGCTAATAATAAAGACACAAAAAAAGGTGTCTTTTTTTTTGACGCGCGAAAAAAAGGGTGTAATTTAGGGGAAGCGCACAGCTGACAGCTGCAAAGACTAAAACAATAAATAATATCTTTCTGAAGCATCCCAGATACAAATTCCAGTATATAGCAGATGACATCCCTAACTATGTATATATTACCACAATTCTCTCCATGGGGATAGGGGCAAAAAGTGAAATGAACTCTCAAAGCCATTCAGACATAAATATTTAGGAAAAATGAATAGAAGTACCATCAAAATCCGCTCGACACCCACATTTTCAGCACCACCAGCATCAGATCCACATGGCAAATCTCAGCTGACAAAAAATAACCTCTACTGCTGTTTGCATTCTGGAGGTTGCTCACCTTGCTGTCCTCCAGCCTGTGGTCTTCCACTCTTCTGAGATGATAGAGCCAAAATTTAAGTAATTCCATAATGCCATGGAATATTTGAATGCATAATCCACATACAGCATTATGACAACAAGAAGCTTATTCAGCTATATAGATCGCATTAGATACAGCGTTATGAGAATACATATCGATGAAAACTGAAACAAACTACTTTGCGCAGCTACCAAACACGAATAGATTTTTTTTTTTTTGGTAAGGATTTTCTTTTCATAAATCAAATTTTCTGCTCCAGCATGGCCAGATGAACACAAAGCTATTTCACGTGAACAACACAAAACCAAAATATCATACCTTGTGGCTTGATGGCTGTATTGACATCCCGAACAAAGTTGACACGACAAAGCAGTTGGGAGAAGAAAAAATCAATTAAGATTCTGAAAGAAAAATACTGAAAGATTTTAAAGCAAAAAAGAAAATTAAAAATAATTAGTGCATCGCACCTTCTTTTTGCTCTTGGTTTGTTCTTCTTCTTCTTCATCGTCATCATCTTCGTCGTCTTCATCATCCTCTTCCTCTTCATCATCATCTTCTTCAATGTCTTCATCTTCATCATCCTCTAGGTCTCCAAACTCCTCTCCTTGAATAGCTTCCCCAGTAAACCATGATACAGCATGGGGAATAATCTTGTCTCTTATTGTTGACCTGAACAAATCATGATAAAGAGTCAGGAAAGCGAACTACCAAAAAAGAAAGAAAATGGACCAAAAAAAACCAGTAATAGCAACATAAAGGGAGGAATTGTTTGCCAATAAAGTTTGTTAAAACATCAGTAAGAGCAACATAATGGTCCAAAACAATGTGACAGCTCAAAAACAAGTACAAGGCAATTAAGCTCACCCAATATCATAGTCTTGTTCCATCTGGTTCTGAAGTTCCTCGGCCTGTTCATAAAAATTTATGGTTATAAGAAAACCAAAAAAAATCAAATTTATTAGCCTAGGTTACCTAGAAGGACAATCATACCAAATCTTCGTCAATGTCTTCATCGTCTTCAGGGACCTGTGGTGGGCTGAAAAAATTGAAGAAGCTTTCACAATTTTCAGTTTTAGTAATTGGTTTAGCATTCTTTGAACCCTTCTTGGGCTTTTTCTTCAGCAGCTTCTGGGTCAAGCACTTGCCAGGGTACCATTCAATTTCCGTGCTACATGAAAAGGACAACAAACCATCCTTAGCTCGACCTTCTCACATGACTGTCATTGAGGGTTAGAATATAGGGTGACAGCATCAATCAATTTGTGTGTGCATGCATGTCGTGCCCCCGTGCGTGTGTTTGAGAGAGAGAGAGAGAGAGAAACTTACCCAATTGCTTTCTCCAGAATAGGCTCATCTTCATCAATCATATGATATGTTTTTGTCAAGACAGAATTCTTAAAATAAGGATTAGTATCAAAGTAAAACTCAAGCTTAAATCCTTTGGGACTTTCTATTCTGCTCCATTTAATATCTTTGAGATACTTGAGAGCACCTTCATCTCGCTCAGAAATCTGATTCAAAGCAGTGAAAGAACAGTTGTAACTGTATCTTGACAGGGAAACTCAAATGGGAGGTTTGAATAACTAATGAATAATAAAGAAAATGACTAACCTCCTCAGCTAATACTTCATTATTTTTCATCGCAGTGAGCCAGAAAGCAGGCACGCCTTTTTCTAAACAGCATAATAACTTATATCAAGGAAATGTAATACTTCAAGAAGAAAAAGGTATAGCATTTATACGGTACCTTTATCCTCCTCTTCTGTATCAGCCGCAGTTTCATTTGCTACTCCTTCCACATCAGCAACACCATTTACAATATCATAGCGCTGCATCCATTCATTCAAGTTAACATTTGAAAATGTCAATGTCAGATATTCCGTTACAATTCAGAACAAAGATTTTTCCCCATTAAACTCAGAATCATCATATTGATAAGATAATGTTACTAGTGGAGAAAATAGCAGTTGCATACAATATAGCCTTATAACATTGCATGCAGCTTATTAATTCCATCTTCTACAAGTACAGTGTACCTTTGTATACAATGGTTGATACAATTTTTGGTATTTGGCTTCGAGAGCTGCTCTCTCCTCAAAAAATTTCGCCTCTAACTCATCATGTTGACCCTGCAGGATGAGATTTTTATAAGATGAAGTCATGGAACTACAAGTTCACTCTTCATCGTTCCTTAACAGATAGTTGTCACAGTCTGGCCAAAAAACAATTAAGAAAAGAAAAAAGAAAGTTGCTCTTTGCCCCATCAACTCCACTGTCACCAGATTTAAAGTGCAAATGGATGTGATGAATTCAGTCTATAATGACTTCTGTAGATTTCTTATTCAGCTTTTATTCAACAATACACTTAGGTAACAATCAATCAAACGTAATGTTTAAAATCAAGTTATTTTTCCACGATCTATTTTACACCACGCGAATGCTTCTTATTTATAATAAACACGTATTAATCAAATCTACCAACAACAAAACGGTTTACATCTGTTACTCCCAAACACTATAAAATGAGGTGGGACATGCCTGGATCTCTCTAAGAACCTCAACACGCTTCCTGACATTAGGCGCCAGACTCTCGAGAATATCTGTGTGCTGCCCAGCCAGACTCTGGATCTTATTCTGCATAAGAAAATAACCATGCGAGCCAAATCAACACCAACCCAGTATATAAAATTTGATTTTACGGTGCTAACTCCACATGATTCAAGTAACCAATCCAACTCTCTGGAGCTCACAAATCAAGCAATTAATGTTCAGAAATAGAATATAGCATGAATAACTAAAAAAGAGCAGTTTCCCAAATACAGCAATGGTAAGCACGATGAATAATTGAAACTAAAACAAACTGACCTTGAGAGCATTGACCAGGTCCGCTCGATTCTCCTCATTAAGAGCTTCACAAATTAACAACAAAACAATAGCATGAGGATAACAGAAAGAAAGGTCAAAACACAAAGAAGCAGCGAAATTGAGAGTTGAACAAATAAGAAATCGTAAGCTACCAGAGCTGAGATCTGCCATGCTGAAGTTATCCTTGTCGGTGCCCATTGAAGCTGGAGAGCGGGGAAGGAGAAAGGTGAGGGAGGCAACAAGGAAGGTTTAGCCCAAAACCCTAGGGGAGATGAGAGAAGAGAAGCTAAGAGGGTTTCAAAACGAGGCCTCCCTCAAATTTATCTTCTTCCTTCCCTTCTTTTGAAAACCTAACACCTGGTTTATTTATCGCATAAACTTTTTGCATTTTTCCTCATTTTTAAATTTTAAATGACAAATAATTTTTTTTTAAAAAAACTTTCAATTCAAATAATCACCTTTTTTGTTTTTCGGAGATCACGCAGAAAGGTGATTTATTCAGGGGACCCAGCTGTATTAGCCTGGTTGTAAAAGCCCAATTACGCATAATAATAAATCGAATGGGCCCAATTGAATAATTCTGAGCATTATAAATAAAAATATTTTTTATTACCTGAGTTTCCTGTTATTATGATTTACTTAATTAATACTTAGCATCCACTAAATATAATAAACCTAAAAGATTTTAAAATTTTGGAAAATTAATTATCCTTAGTAATTGGACCCCTTCTCGAAACGAATGAGATATTTATTCAAATCATCTATATAAAAAAGGGTTCTGTTGTTTCTGGTAATCATAGCTCATGTTGTGAGCTGGTTCCTTCTTCCTTGTTAGGCAAATACTCATAATCACTTTTCATTTAAGGGAAAAAAAAAAAAAGTAAAAGAAAACTCTTCCTTTTTATGAGATAAAACTCCTCACATACGTGTCATGTAACGACTATCTTGAAGCAAAAAACATTAACAAACCTTATTCTACAATGTGAAAATGCGAGAAATTTTGGAAGCAACCTTGGCAAGAAAAACTCTCGAAGAGATTAGTAGAAATTTTCAAACCCTCTCTAGATTTTTAGTTCGATTTGACCTCTTGTCCATGTATACTTGATAATGCCTGCTTCCGAATCCATCTAATCTCATTTCCTGTACTAATTGCCAGGCTAGAGTTCAGAAAACATTTACTTGCAAATATGCGTGAGAGAGAATATAGAGAATTACCATTACCTTTCCATTAGTGATATAATCAATTATTTACGAGACATAATAAGAAGTCGTTATTATTTATAAGTCTTGATTATTATGGTTTAAATCATGTTTAGTTGTAGCCCAAATTGATAACTATTTTCTCAAAGATAAACAATATAATCAGTTCATCATCCTCTTCAGCAATTACATAGTCCATAGCACTTAGAGATCAAACTAACAACAAAGGTGACTACTAATCCTTTGAAGAGATCCGCTTAACAAAATTTTGAATCCAATTCGTCTTCAAATGACAAGCTAGACGTAAACCCCAGAAGCAAGTAGGAGGAACAAGGACCCAAAACCCTGCATAGGAGATAAGACATAACTGAGCGGGAGTTTATAACATTAAGCTATCATGATGTCAGCCAATGATACGGAAGCAGTTGGCACATACCAAGAAGAACGATGCCACGGCTGCAGTTGTCAGCTCCTTGGCAAGAGAACGGCTTTTCCGAGAAGAAGTCGTTTCATATCTGTGCATGATGGATAAATTTATACAAAAAGAAGTTGAAACATGATGATAAATTGTTACCTTAAGATCATTAGTCCATGAAAGGCAAGCATGACAACTTATAGATCACAATTAATTGACAAAGAACCTATTTTGATCATTGTAAGACATTGCCATAATTTGAGTTTCTTTTCATACACGTCATGATTAATTTGATACCCCACAATTTTTTAAATGACTTCAGTCCTCAAGAATATGATGCTTCAAAAGGACAGGATATTTTGGACACTTGGAATAAAATCATACTTTTTGGTACTAGATTGATGAAAAAATCAGTGGAGTATCAAATCGATGATAAGCCGTCTTTTCAGAATCAGAAAGTGTTTTGTTATTAGAATTAACCCCACAGAGCAATTAACTTATTTGTGACCATGGAAAATTGGATATGATCTATTGTCTAGAATCTAAGTCTCCATATCACCAGATACTATTCCGAGAATGCGAACTACAGAGCAGAGTCAGGCCCCTTCAAGGTGATCCCAATTCATGGAAGGAAAAATTTAAAAGCTGGAAAAATTAATTCAAAATAGTCATGCAATTGGTATTTAAGCACTCCGAAAAAGATATCTACATTATTGAGCTTGGCATATGATGAAACTCAACTCAAACTGATGTTCAAATTAACAAACATCTAGCAGAAGTGAATCTAACCAGAAAACTAGAAAGAAAACAGACAAAAACGCATAGCAGACTAGCTTTTGGGAAGTTAACTCTCTCTGCAAAGTCACTCAGCAGTTGTTTAACCCCTTCCTGATTACATCATCTACAGTGTAAGCCTTACTCTCCCCCTCTCACCTCACAACTTACAAAGCCCTCAAAGTCTCCTGCCCCGTTGTTTGTGGGTCCAACATCATATAAGAATGTTCTCCTGTAATGAACTTAAGTAATTTTATGAAATACACCATTTGCCATGCTTGCTTCTACAACTGGGAAAAATCACACCAAGTAGGCATAACTAAAGCCTTTTCGGTTTTTCCTTTCTTGACCAATTACAATCAGTATAACATAAATCACAATTGGTTCTCAAATTTTTCGTCATTCCCATCCAAGTAGAGTCCACCAGCAATATTCACCCTTTCAAATTCAAACTTGATGGTAAATGCCAGTCACATACAAATCTTGCTTAAATTTCAGAGTCTAAGAAAAAACTAAAACTCTACCCCTATACAAGAAACCTGTGCAATTAATTGCAGCTCGATGACAAAGAAACTTCTGCATTCGAACAACTCCTCGTCCATCTCAATCCAATTTTCATCTCGAAATAGCTAGAGCTAGCAAATCTCCTAACTAATCAGATTTAACCTCCAGGACAAAGATGGCCATTACTTAGTAGTAACATTGTACTTGATATGGGCAAGCCTATGTCACCATTAACCTCCAACCAAGGTCTTTACTACATACTAGTGTTGCATCCTTAATAATCCAACCCAAGAACTATGAATCTAGGCTTTAAATAATTTCCAAGTTCTTAAATATTCAAAACTGAGCAGGCTAATTTCCTCGATTCACACAAATCCCTCTTATCTAGGGTGCCTACAAATTTCCCAGTAGGCAGGTCACCAAAAAAATGAGAATCACAGAACAAAAAACTAAAATTGAAAGCCTGGAACATTTTTTGAATCAATGTACGATCGGATAATGGGATCACAAAGGTTTTGGGATCAGATCGAACTTACATGAAGAAAGAGGCAGTCAGGACGAGGCCAATGGCCAGCATGAACACAGACAGGGTCGGGTACCACGAAACGGGTACCGGACTGGTAATGGGTTTCGCAGCCTTCCAGGAAACAGAGAAAAGAAAACGCAATTAAATGAAGATTTCTGGAAGAAGAAAAAACCTAGAAATGAAATGATCTGAGAATTTAGGATGAATTCCAGAGGATTACCATCAGAGAGACGGAGATAAAAAACGGATCTTGTTGTCGAACAGATGACTCTGAGTCTCGCCTAAAGTCGAAAGCAGCCAAGGAGAAGCTTATAGACGAACGCGACGCGCCAGCGTCCCCAAGAGCATTGACCTGTCCTAAAATGGAGTGTAAAATCAGTATCTTAATTAATTAATTGATTAGTTAGTTAGTTAATTAATTATCTTTTGAAAAAAGTTTCGTTTTGAGAATTTTTTAGCCAATGACATTTTAAGATTGAAATATATTAAAATTATTGTCCAACTTTTTTTGTAAATAAATGGGCGTAAAATATAAAATGCATAGGAATTATACTATTAATAAACAATAAGAAAAAAAAAAAGAGAGAACGCTTGATGAAATATAAAACTCATAGAATGGATTAAACAATAAGATAAATATAATAATCTAATTAAATCTACTCTAAAAAGTTAAGAAACTTGGGGCTGTTTGTTTTTGTTTTTATTTTCTTGTTTTTAAAATAATTTTATAAAATTATTTCTTAGAACAAGTTTTGGAAATAAAAAACAAAAAACTTGGTTTGGATAATAATTTTAAAAAATCATATTTGAAAAAAAAATCATAAAAAATTACACTTGGTAGGTAATAGTTATCATTAGTAATGATAAGTAATAAATAGTAAGTTAGAAGAGAAGAAGATTTTTCAAAACAAAAAATAAAAAATGCAAAAGAAAACAAAAAAATGCAAAAATTGTTGAGATTTTTTAGTTTTTAAAAACATATTACTGTTTTTTAGTTTTTAAAAACATGCTACTTTTTTTATTTTTTAAAAATTAATTAAAAACAAATTATCAAATAAGCTTTTTTTTGTTTTTTATTTAAAAATAAAAAATTGTTTTCAAAACAAAAAACCAAACAACCCCTACTCTCTTAAAATTCATAGACTAAGTATTTATTTTGCCCCTTTTGGCATTCCAAGAGGACCATTATTATTATTATTATTATTATTATTATTATTATTATTCATTATTCTTATTCTTAAATCTTCTGTTGTTGTTTTGCTAATTCTTAACATCTTTTTTACAAAATGCCATGCCATTGAGATGAGGATGATCAAGCAGATCAATGAGCAAATTCTTATAAAAGATAACATCAATGTAATTTAAGGATGCAAAGAAATTACTTGAGTAATACAACCCAACAACAGTCTCAAATAAGAGATGATAAAAGATGAGGATCTGAAGGTTGTAGTTTCACAAGAGAACCATTATTCAAAAGCCCCTATACACTTTGTACCAAAAAAACAAAAACAAAAAAGAAGACGCTTTAGCATTTTTAGCACTTCATTCATGAAATTGAACTAGCTTTTTTCTCTTTGGCAGTAAAAGACATTATTCTGAGGCGATATATCAACAAGAAGAATCTTGAAATCTTAATGAACTTCATGTTCTAAAATTCTTGCTGCACTTTAGTGAATTGAAGTACAAGCTAAAATATAAGCTAATGTCCTAATATTAACTCCCAAGTAAAGGTCACAACAACAGTTAAGACTACATTTTAGACAATAATGGCCAAAACAACATTGAAATTGGAGCACCACAAGACTATGAAGTCATAAAATTCTCTACTGGTAACTTGCCAATTACAAACACAAATTCTAGTTCACTGCAAGTGTAAATGTTTTAAGATCCATAAGAAGTTGCATATTCGACTGGGGAGACAACCACCTTCAAAAACTTAGCCCCCAATCTTTCCCAACAACAAACCGTTCTCAACTTCGTGCATAGAGCAATTGAACATGACGGTTGTGTCTATGCTCGATAAGCAGCTACTCAGCTGTGGTTAAAAGATCGTGGCGAAAGTTCCAAGACTGTGACGCTGCTCATTACCCACTATACGCAGGGAGAATGCTATGATATGAACTTCGGCACCATGGGCCAGTACCTTCTAACTTAATACTTAAAACAGCAAGAATGACAGTATAAACAGTGTGCAGAAGGTTGCACATCGAACTTCACCCCTGGTTGAGCCGAGCAAGTTACAAGCAGTCAGTCTAATGAAAGTGAAGATCACCACAGGACTGGTAATACAAAATAAGCAATCGAGGTCCAATGTGATCATGAAGTCACCTAAACACAAACCATAGAAAGCAGAAGTTCAAAAGTAGCTGATTGTGAGAGTCAAACATGCGGCATCACAAGCAATTAGACATATTACCAAGACTTGGAACCTCAATGAGCATGAAGTGGCGGCTGTATATGGAGAATTCGTTGAATGAATAATCAACAGTTTGGATCAAATTCTTGAAATCGACTCTTAAAATCTTCAACCATTTTTGTTTCTTCCTCCTTACTATATTTGCAATTCCTCCAATCTGCCTTATCCGCTATATTGAGCAAGCCTGCTACAACCTGATTCATCAATCATCATATTCAGAGATCACACCTCTAAATGATAAATACAATAATTATCAACCTTGCAACAAAAAATATGCGGTTATTGGACGTCCTCTCCTATAAAGATTGTGGAGAAAGTAAATTGATAAGAGCAAATCTCTTTCACAAGCCAACCTCACGACCAAATTGGGCAGGAAATTTCTCATTTTCTTCAACCCGATGCAACAATATTGTGCTTCCTGGTAGTTCAACATAGAACAAACTTGAATTCCCATCAAATTGTGTCCTCAAAAATTTTCTTCCATCAGAATCGCTATCAACTGAAAAGTAGTCATAAGGAACGACACAAAAATGCAGCATAAGCAAAAATAAATAAATAAATAAGAAGAACAAAAGTGTTGCGTTTTACAGATAGAGTGGATTCCAGTTGTTAATGATTTTTCAAGTCAAAAAAACGCATCAGTAAGCCAGGACATAGAGAAGGCATGACTCTAACAGACAAGAATGTAAAAGCGGGAAAAAGGTGCAGAGCTTAACTGATCCAGCTCAGAATAAGTAGACAGAACAAGAAATGAAATATGTAAACTTACACTTTTTAGATACAAATTTAAATCCCAGCTTTTCTGCTCCTAAATTGAATATTTTTTCAACCAGTGTTGTTTTGGAAGTTGGAATAGGAACGACCTACATGAACAAGGAGCATTATAGTTTGAACAAGAGAATCAAAACTACAATTTACACCTGTCATGTTAAAACTGCACAATAGCTAGCTTAAAAAACATGGTTTCACCAGATCACCAGAGTATACATCTAAACTGAAATTTATATATCTATATAATATAAATACTCTAAAAACACACTATTCATAAGTCACGAGCTATGATGCCCATTTCTCAAAATCCAAGCATCATACCCGCACTAATTACTCAAATTATACAATTTCTGGTGGGCAGGGGAAGCAAGCTCACTCGATTAATAGATTGAATCAATGAGCACAAAGCACAGACTCTTATCAGGATTTTACCAAAGTAAATGCAACAGAAACTAATTTTACCTGAAGATTTGCATGACTACTACGCTTTGAAACCCACTCAAAAAAGATTACTTGCTTTCCTTGATTCTTGTGATACATCCTTAGACTGTTCTGGAATTTACTAAGCTCAAGTTCAGATTCCGTTGACAGTGATAATGTACTTGACAAATGCTCAACTGGTATTAGCAGCACATGGTCTTCAACAAGTGGACCTTTAGGCAATGCACAGTAGTAATTTTCTCCAATGCTAGCGATCAAATGTGACTCCACATTGGGGCTTGACAAGCAAAACCAGCACTCGTTTGATCTACACTTGTAGTATAGCATAGAAGGTCAATGACCAAAGATGCCCAAGAGTTTGTGACAATGAAAGAAATAAGCTAACAGACATGAAATTCCTACATTAGTATAGGCACAACCAAATAATTCTCAAAACATGTTAAGCATTAATACCGATAAACCATTCATTATAGAAAATAATGTCAAAACTCAAAAGGCTTACCTGTTAGAGCTAGAATTTTGAGATCTTGGCCTCTTTTCAGCATAGCTGTCCCCCTCATCCTGCATGCTGTGCTTAAAGTTGCAATCTGGACCCCTTTCACATTTCCCCTTGTTCAAAAAATCAAAACAAACACCTCTAATATACTGTTCCCTTGCATCTAAATCATGTCGAAAATTGCACTTTTCTCCCCTTGGACAAGAACCAGAAGACAAAAATTTAAAACACAATTTATCACCATCTCCAGCTCCATGTTTCTGTCGCTTTTGAGAAACATCATATCTCCAATACTGAGAATCAGAGACACTATCACTGGATCTCTTTGCAGTGTCCTTTGGAGAAGCTCTTTTCTCCACAAATGCATATGGCGACTCAGTGGTATTAGTGGTCTTCACGGCAATCTCAGTTGAGGACATGGTGGATGCAGGCGTGGGAGAAATTGCATGAATAAATTTCTGGAAAGCAGACGAGAAGAAGATTTTACAGCAATGAAAAGCAACTAGTCCTTTAATAAGAAAATAAATTATTTCCCAACAAGTCTTATCCCACTAATTGAAAGATCTTAATATCTAGGAAAAGTAAATTACAATTACCACAAGAACCAGAGAATGATAAGTACTTTTTTAAGAAAACAAAATTTATTGATAGAGCATATAAGTATGCCGAAGCCTAAACCTGCTTATCTTTATTTCCAACAGTAGCAAGCCCTATGAAACGAGTCACATGCACTGCTTCAATATTAGAATAAGGCTCACGGGCATAGTATATACCTTTACTGCCTGCAATGTGATAACTAAAAACGAAAGTGTATAAGGCCACAAGAGAGTGCACAAAGGAACATTTGGCATAGTAAATTTCTACAGCAAAAGTGATATAGTTAGATTCTAAGCTAGTGGAAACACAAGAATAAATATCAAAAAATCAGATTTTCCTGAGGGAACCTCCAAGTTTATGAAACTTATGACTACCTATCCAACCAAATCCCTTTTTTTTTTTAACCGTTTGTGAGATCGTTATCTCCAGTTTCATATGGACTGCAAATATAAAAGCCAATATTTCTCTTTAATAACAAACTCATAAAAGCTGTGTGAGACGAAGTCAGCCGGTCAAACAAGGAACTAGCGATAAAAACCTGCCAAAAGCTAAAGTGCAAAATGTGAATAAAGAATTTGAAGTATATAAGTACTAAGAAAGCAATTGTACTGTATTCCAATTGTTCTTTTCAGGAAGTAGCATCCTCAAGTTCATAACAATTTAAAGAGTACCCATAAAAGTTTGTTTGAAAAACTATCAAATTCTCCTTTTTTTTTGGGTGGGGGGGGGGGGGGGAGGGGACGGGACATGGTACCAGATATCCATATAAACTCTGAATGTTGATAGAGATACAGACCGTGGTTTAATCTCTCCCACCAACTCTGCTATGATTGAATCACTCCCCATGGAATCTGATAGTCCAGCAGGAATGTCTGAAACATTTGCTCTATTTGTAACCCCACTGGGCCATTCATTAGTGATCACTAATTAAGGGAATCCAATGGCAAAAAAAAAAAAAAAGAACTAATTAAGGAAATCCTAAAGCCAGATAAATTTCTAAAAGGCAATCAAGTGGCATTAAGGCTATAACATAGACCGACAAGGATAGACTTCGGGCATACAAATTAAAGGATATGTCAAGAACAAGTCGACTATTCCAGGTTCCTCAGCTATTGCTCTCAAAGCATCAACATCATCTTGACTGTAAACGCCAAATTGTTGAACATCTAATGATTGTCTTCCCGATAAATAGACCACAGATAACCCTACATACAAAGTAACAAATAAGATAGAAGAAAAATCAAATTCTCAAAATGATTTCCATTCCCCAAAATGCCAGCAATTCAATCAATCTTTTACAACAGTGATCCCTAAATTAATCTCTTAATCGATTAATTGTAGTTGTACACTACTAGGTTCCCAAAAACAAACTCTGTTAAAAACGCAGAAAAAGATGTGCCGAGGCTTGGACAGATGTTCGACCCAAATAATATCCCACACAGAGCAGTCACTGCCTAAAATATAAAACCTCGTGGCCAAAAGGGAAGATATAAGAATTAACTAATGTTAGAAACTGATGGTTATCAGTCACATTCACAAAGAACAAAACAAAATCCAACGTTACCAGTGATTGAAATGCTGCCAAACAGAGTAGGACAGCTAAGCTCCTCAAGCCACTAATAATAACACTAGGCTTAAAGAACATGATTTACGCATAAAGCGGAAATTTCCTATTAGTCAATACACAACAAGCTAATTACAAGGTTCAAACGCAACAAACATACCCAAGATGGTGAATTTGCCACTGCCTTTCAACCAATACAAATTATCGCAAACCCTCAAGCCGTCCATTTTGAAGCCACGGTTCGAAGGGTCCTTAGAAGCTGCTAATAAAACTTTAGGGGCACCGACGCCATAGTCGCCGATGAAGTAAGTCGGAAGAGGAACCTGCGTTCGACCCTCAATGTAGTCCATGAACTCGTCCAGTTGGTCCGGAGACTCCGGGAAGAATTGACCAACGCAGAAAAGCGCATCGAACGGACCAGCCGATTTATTGACCTACATAGAATAAGTGAATCCAATGAAATACCCAAAGAACAAGGCAAGGAATCAAACCAACGAAAGGGTAAAAGAGAGAACGAACAGATGAGACACGCTTGAAGAGCTGGTTGACGCGGCCCATGACGTCGCCGCATAGGAGGATTCTCGGAGCCATTGTGGAGAAGAACAGAGAAGCAGCAGTGAAGCTCTGGCAGTGTGGGAGGAGAAGAAACTCGAGGACCAAAGGAAGAACCGTCCGGATTTTCACGATGGAATACTGTCGTTTACAACTAAAAACGGCATGCCGTTCTAGGATACTTCGGTCCCCTCATCTAGGGGAAATTACTATTGAATCTCGGATAAGCAATCTCTCAATGCATAAATAGCTTTCAAGTCCCAGGTATGTGTAATAAATTTTTATGGCACTTGCTTATCAAAATAATCTTATTTTATTTTTAAAAAATTAAATAGTATTTAAGCATACCCGAATTGTAATTTGCAAAAAATTAAGTTACTATTATATCCAAGTTTAAAATATTAACATTTAATAGCATTTAATTATAAATTCATATCAAACAAAAAATGACACATGACTATATGTAATCACTTATCTGATAACTTGAATGATGGGCGTAAGAAACTTAACTCAAGTTTTTATTTATGTATATTATAAACACCAATTATTAGTTATCTTAAAGTCAATGAGGGGCCGATAGTTACAAGTGTTCTTTACCGCGAGTGGAAGAATTTTTTTTTTTCTTTTCCATTTAATTACTCAAACTTTTTTTTTAAATAAATTATCACAAAATCTATCAATTACTCATTATAATTGAATGAATGAATTCAAAACATTATTAGCCCTTGACTTGAAAAATAAGATTTCAACAAGTTGAGAGATCTGATGTTCCTATAAAAGCCTAGTAAGCTAAACATTTCATCTAAAGGATGGATGAGTGACCCTGAAAAACTCATTTGACATTATGATCAAAAGTGAAATTATAATTAAGTATAATATTATAAATATTTTGATAGTCCTAAAAGCTTTATTAGAAAATTATATCAATGTCTCAATTAATTGGATGGTCAATTTGGTTTTAATCTGGTCTCAATACAACTGTCTCATGGAATGAAAAGAGGTGTTTATTCTTGCAGGCTAAAATATACCACCCCACAATAAAAATGTTCAATTTCAAGGCATTATGCAATTTCCACTCTAAGGAGTGGTATTTGTTCATGCTCTTACAAACAAAGAATTGAAAAGCAAGATCTGAAGACTAAATTAATGGGTTCTCAGCCACCCCCCCCCCCAAAAAAAACACTAAATTTTTGGGTTCAACTTCTCCAGCCTTTAATTTTATAGATTTTTTAATATAATTTATATCTCCAGCCTTATAATTCATGTAAGGCCCTATATTGACGGAGGATGCTGTGGATAGAGCCTGTGTGTGACTCACCCATCCCCATGTAGAAGGGTTAGGATAGGGAAAAATAATTTATGCTTTTTTCAAATATAAAATTAGAAAATTTGTCCAGCAGAAAATATCCTAAGCATCTTTCAATTGACCAAAAACCATGGTGCGGATACAAATATGAAGGAAACTAATCCCTGCTCATTTGCTTTTATACACACCCCTTCTATTCAAGATCACTATGATTCTGACAACAAGCATATACTCATTAGAGAATCATTCAAGATACACTAATAAGGGAAGGGACCTCATAGGCCACTGACATTGTTCAAATTCACCGATAAGTTCATCAGCCCATTCCTTCAAGATTACAGTTGTGAAAAGGAGCATATTTCAGATTTCAAAGTCAAACAGCTGGAACTTTTTTGCCATCTTCTATAAAGAAAATCGCAGTTTCTGGTACCTATATGAAAAAAGACATCATGCCAGTCAAATAAATGCTCCAAATTCGAGGGGTAAAAGGAACTAATGAATTTATGAAGAACAAGAGTACATCCATTGCCTTGAATAAAAACAAAGATTTTGTTAAATTTACAAGAATCAATTAGACAATGAACTATGAAAACCAGCTTCCTGCCTTTTTTATTGAGTTATAGATCCATATTTTCAATAGAGTTCAGCATAACATTCACTGGCATCTTTTCAACACGACATAAAGAATCACAGGTAATATATCATGCAGATTAAACAAAATCTCATCAAGCATTTACATCATTCATTTTGAAGAGCACGTTTTCCCCAGATTTTAGTTTCTATGGCTAAATCAAGACATGTGTTAGTTTCACATCCATAAATAACCAAGTGAATTTATAAACAATGATGATTTCACTGACATATGAGACCGCTTAACTTTTTCCACTTTTTCTCTTTGATTACATGAAATATAAACTCAGTCAGAATATAATATCAATCAAACAAGTGGTAATCAAAATGTCTCACATCAGGCCATGTTTCAGTAATGAACTCCACAATGTCATATGATATATCCCCTTGAACGTCAATTTGCTCTTTCTCCGTCGGTCCCTGAGACCAAACAATCCAAAACACTATAAGACATCACAAACTTCGATTAAACAACTAATTATGTGTCCATCATCTAAGAGTAAATAAACCTTCACAACAGAGGCTCCTGTTGCAAACTTTTTCCCAAGTTTCTTAGAAGCATCACTGAGTTTGACACCTGAAATGTAATAAGAAAGATTGAGAGTTCATAACAATGACATCAATGGTATAAAATCTTGTAATAAGGGAAAGCTTGATGGGCAAAGTATGGCTCACCAAAAAGGTCAAGTCCTTTCACAGTTGTGATGCATTTTCGTCTGTTTCGTATGATCTTTTCAATAACAACCTCTTGCTTATCCTGGAAAGGGGAAAAAAAGGCCACTTCTAATCATATCAACTGATTCAAATGATAGTGTTCAGTGTCAAAATGATGGGAATTTCTAGTTTGAAAGTGCGTAAGAATTTCAAGAAATACCTTTTTCTTCATCTTTCCACCTGGAAGACGTTTTGCTTCTTCTTGCTTGGGTGCTGGAACATCAAATGGTTCCCCGGGGGGGGGGGGGGGAGTTTATAATGTCATTTCTATAATCAATTGGCATGCAGTATATGAAGTTTCAGTCTATAACCAAATGACTGAAAGACATATAACTCAATTTATGAATATGATAGATCATTAGATATCAAACAGAACGTCTAAATTCAGAGAGATGCCATGACAGGTCAGATCTGAAATGCATGAGAGTCTTCATTTTCATCAATCCCATGAAAGAAAAAAAATACTAAGAAAAAAAACATTGGGGGTTTGTTAATTAAATGTACCGTATTATTAATAACCGCAAGCAGAACTACTTATCATTTACAATAATTCATAAATATATCCAAATTCTGAAACAGTTAGACAAGATTTAGCGAAGGAAAGCTATCAATTACAAGTAGAGTCTTTTAGAGACCAATCGTTGCCCTTGTATTGGAGAAGAAAAAGCAAAAAAGGTGCATCTCACAGCACCAACTGCTAACTTCACTCATCCTTGGTTAGGGTTGCCAAACCGCTTAATAATCCATTCCACCCTATGACTGTTAACTGAAGTAGTTTATCTACCCTCATCTAACATCATGCATATGAAAAGTTCAAGTTTTGACTGAGCGTTTTAAAGAGAAGAGGTCGGGTAAGTTTCCTCACTGGTTGGATGTTGCATTATTATCAATGCAATTGGGTGAGTTTGAAGGGTAAACGGCTAGTGGAGAGAGTTTAAAAAAGAAACTGAACTATTATAAGAGCCCAGACCATGCAATATCCTCCAATTTGGAAAGGTTTGTAGCTTGGGGGGGGGGGGGGGGTTAAAATGGATCCCAAATCATTCTAGCCCAATTAAGCCTATTAGCTTTTAACCATCCGATTGATGGTTTAGATGCTCAACCCATTTTCCCAGTCAAATTTAACTTCATCTTGTTCAATTTCCACATCAAAAGTCATTTTTACAATTACATTTAGCAAGGCATACTCGAAGGACATATTTATCAACGAAAAGTAAGGGCATAGCTAAAGGTTTTGCGCAAGTTATAACAAGTGACATGTGATCGGCAAATTATTTGCAAATGGCTCATTAATTTTTCTCGTAAGCTTAGGAGATAAAAGCAAGCTGCAAAGTCCTTAAGCATACCAAAAAGTTTAAACAAAATTCTGAGCAAAGCAGCAAGAGAGCCTACCTGAGGTGGCAGCTCCATCACTAGCCTCAGAAGCTATACTGCTATTTTGCAACTTCTCAGCAACTTTATCAGCTTCCTTTTCATTAAACTCTGAGGGAAGGGCGGGGGGCACGGTCAAAAAACCAAACAAAGAAAAGTAATAAAACTCCATTTGGGTCCTCTAACGACGGCTCACTATCAATTGGATTCTTCAAAAAGTTTTTAAGAATTGATTTTGTTTAAATCTCATAACTGAAATATCGTAGAGAGAAACTCTCTTGAAACAAAAATCGAACACTGAGCACTAAAGTGATAAAAAAATTATTTGAGAGCAAATGGGACTAGAATCGCGTTTCAGAGGATCAACAGTGAGTTTCACTGGGAAGGAAAAAAAATCAAGAAAAATGCATGAGACCTTTAAGAAGATCCGGGTAAAGGTCCGGTACGTTTTGGATCAACCAGGGCTTGCATTTGTTGAAATCAGGTCCGAATTCGCAGTACTCAGGGGGCAAACTGCACACAGAGCAGTATAGTACCCGAACCGGTTCAGGTTTCTCGGCCATGGCAGAACCAAGTCAAAGCTTCAGTTCTTCCTTTGCGGATGGGAGGAGGAAAAGGAAACGGAGTGTTCACAAGGCTGCGCCTAGGAAGAAGACCATGCTATATTGCCGGTCCCAGGAAATGCTTTATATGAATATGATCATCCAGAACCCGTATCAAAAGATGGCCCAGTTGGAGTCGCACAGCAAAGGAGAAAGAATAAAAAATGGACGGTTCAGATTAATTGCTAATCACACACGAGGTTTCTGTAAAATAAAATAGGGAAAATGACAAAAGTTGGAAATCATGATATTTCAATTCAATCACCTAGAAGATCAAAATCTCAAGGGAGGAAGTGATCGCTGATTTGATATTTTGCAAACATAATTAATAAAAAAAATATTATTATATCAAAAAGTTTATTAATAAGTTGTGAACTAGTAACACCCAGTGTTAAATAGTAAATGATAAGAAATATATTAGTAATAATAAGTCATTTATTACTAAGTTGTGAATTAATAATGACAAATGTTAAACAAGCAATAACAAAAAATATACTAATAATGACAAGTTTGATAACTTTTTTTATACCAAAAAATCTGATATAAAGATATTTTAGTCATTTGATTATATTTACAAAATACCAAATCAAGTACCACTCCTTCTTCTAGGATGTGTCTAAATTGAAATATTATAATTTTCAACTTATTTTTATATTATTTTCTCCGAAAAATAATTTCTCATCATTAATTCAATATTAATATTAATAACTTATTTTAAGCTGGCTAACATTATAATGGGCCGTCGGCAAAAGATTACACTATAATGGGCCTGGTTTCGGGCGATAATAATGGACCTTTTTAGATTGTTTTCCATAATGTAAGACCAGCCCAAAACATAATAGCCCCCACACCGCAATCCACAGCTCGTCTTTCTTGCTAAATGCTATGGAACTCGCCATAGAAGCAAGCTATGGCGTTTCCGCCAATTTCATTTGCTTCATCTTCGGCTTCTTCTGCATGCTCCTGCTCCTCTTCTCTGCATTTTCTTCATTTTCAACCTCAATTCTGCCCTTCCAGTAGTTCCGTGACTTTCAGATTCAGAGTTTCTTGTTCTAACCAGACAGCTCATTTTGACACTGAACAACCCCGACGAGTGAAGGTAACTTCAGAAGGAGCCGAGAAGAAAAAGAAGAATAGTGCTAGACCAAGTTTCTTTGACCAAATTCGAGATAAATGGACTCTCAAACTGAGCTCACCGAGAGAAAAATTCCCGTGGGAAGAACCAGAACAGCAAGAAGACGAAGAAGAAGACGGGGGAGGAAAGCCTGACCGGGAGTCTTCTGGGACTTATGTATCTGAATCCATGGTAGAAGTGAAAGCTTCAGTGATTCATCCTGTGAGTTCCCAGTCTCGAAATCATTTTTCCCCTTGGCATCAAGCCGTCCAGCCCCTCGATAGACAGGTTGACTCTGAACCTGACATTGCTGATAACGATGGAAAACTATTAGAAAATAATGTCACTGGATCTTTTACTGGGAAAAATGAGATTTTGGGAGAGAAAAGAAATGATGGCGAAGTTGATAGCGAACTCTACAATGGTCATGGAAGTCCGGTTGTGGCTAAGGCAACTAGGGAGACCATCCGCTCAATGGAAGGAAAGAGAATTTTTTCAAAGGACAGGTCAAATAGTCATGAGAGAGATCATAGCGATATTCGCTGGTTGAATGAAGAAAATAGGGATTCTGGTAATTTGCCATCCCAGAGAGTGAATGGAGAAGAAGGTCGGGAAAGAGATAGAAAAAGGAGAAGCAACACGGAGTTGGCAGATAAGTTGGTTCCCGAACATGAGTTGCGAAGGCTCAGAAACATTGCCTTGAGGATGGTCGAGAGAATCGACGTTGGGGTCGCGGGCATCACGCAAGAATTGGTGGATTCTATTCATGCCAAATGGATGGAGGATGAAGTAGTGAAGTTGAAGTTTGAAGGTCCTCTTGCGGCTAACATGAGACGGGCCCATGAGATTTTAGAGGTCAGTTCATTTGACCCTCCCTTCCTTGTTGAATTTATGGTTTCGAATCCTTTGTTGATTTAGCGTGTTGTCTGATTTGAAAACTTTGCTGACATATTCTTCTGTTGTAACCTATGCAATGGATCAACCTGGGGTTTCATGAATTGAGATGCAACCTTAATTTTCTAGGACCTCCTTTTGGTCATGTATCACTTCTATTTTTAGGTGGTGTTGTGTCATATACATCATAAGTGCTAGAATCTTATTCACTAAATTGCCTTTACACCTAATCAGAGAAAAACTGGAGGCTTAGTGGTATGGCGGTCAGGCAGTTCGATAGTGCTGTATAGACAATCGAACTACAACCTTCCCTGTGTACGAAAGCTTGCCAAACTAAACCAGGATAATGTGACTACTGTGCACCATTCAGAGGATGTTGAGAATCACACTCAAGTAAGAGTGAACGAACCAGTTAGAACTAAAGATCCAGCTATGCCAGACTCCACAAATTATTTGAAAAATCTATCTGAAGAAGAATACATGGAACTGATTGACCTCAACGATTTGTTAGATGAGTTAGGACCACGTTTCAAAGATTGGGCTGGCCGTGAACCATTACCTGTTGATGCGGACTTATTACCTGGTGTGGTTCCGGGATATAAAACTCCATACAGACTTCTTCCTCATGGGATAAGACCTGGTTTAAGAGACAAGGAGATGACAAATTTTCGAAGACTTGCAAGAACTATGGCTCCACACTTTGCCCTTGGTATGCAAGGAACAACATAATCTAATTCTATTCATGCCCCTGCTTTCAACATATAAATAACATTATTTCTTTAAAACTGTAGGTAGAAACAGGGAGCTGCAAGGTCTGGCTAAAGCTATGGTGAAGCTATGGGAAAGAAGTGCAATTGCAAAAATAGCCATTAAACGTGGTGTGCTCAATACAATGAATGAGAGGATGGCAGAACAACTCAAGGTATGCCTCTGTGCCTAATTGTCTGATTTAATGTTCTTAAAAATTTACCAAAAGTCTGTGAAGGCAGCCATGCTTTCACTTCGCATTGAATGAGACCTACCTATTTGCATGTGAGAATACAAGGGATGATATTTCAGTCTCTATAGCCATTGAATTTGTTTCTGTATGATTTATATGTAGAAAAAGAAAGAACACTTGGCAATAAATCATACCTCTGTCTTTAATTAATGTTTGTCCTCTTGGTTATTTTTAGCATTTCTCCGGCGGCTTGGAGTTTGCTGCTTTAATTTTTTAACTTTGCTGCCCAACTAAATGATTAATTTCACTCACAAGCAGTTGTGCAATCCATAACCAAGTTTTCATAACTGGATAAAAGATTTCCCCTACAACTGAATAACCACGTGTTGTACCAGAATAACAACTAAGAAAGGCAAAAGTTGAATGGTACTGCTATCCTCCATTGACTGGGAATGAAAACTTCAGAGTATTCTATGAAATCTGAAGACGCAAAAATCATGGGTACCTGCATGTCCTATTTATTGCCTAGGCATGTGTATTTGTATATTTTGTTTCTGACTTTTGAAGTGGCAGATGTTCCAGGTCAATGTAAACTTCGCACATGTGTGACTTCTATGGATTTTATTTTTAATTACGCAATGGTAGTAAAGCCATTGCGTTTTTTTCACCTGCATCAGTGTATATTATTTTCCTGAAATTTTTGGGTTCCAACATGCCTCACATGGATTTAATACCCCAAGGATTGCTTACACGCAGACCTTCTCGGTTTCTGACAAATTAGACTTTCTGGGTGCTGATTATAATATTTGTTTCATTCTTTCAAGCCTATGATGACCATTGGTGCTTGTAAAATCCCAACCCATGCGCCTTTTTAGTCGTATCCCACTTTAGCCCTCTTTTATTAATCCAAAAATAAAAAAGTCGTTCTATCACTGAGTCTATCACATCCGAGTGAAAAAAATGTGTTGATTCAGACTTATCACTGACAAATGCATTTCATGCATGCAGAAATTGACTGGGGGGACTCTACTTTCAAGAAATAAGGATTATATCGTATTTTATAGGGGCAATGACTTCTTGCCACCTGCTGTCACAGAGGCATTGACTGAGAGGCACAAACTAGCCCTGCTCAAGCAAGATGAGGAAGATCAAGTGCGACAAATTGCTTCATCATTGACTAGGTCTACTGGAAAAGCTTCTCAAATTCCATTTGTTGCTGGTACCCTTGCTGAAACTAAGGCAGCAACCACCCAATGGGGACATCAACCAAGTAGCCAAGAAGTTGAGAAAATGAGGAGAGATTCAGCTATAAGCAAACTGACTTCTATAGTTAAAAACCTGGAGAAAAAATTAGCTCATGTAAGTTACCAAGGGTCCAAGTCCCACAAAGTACAGAGAATTCTCAGCTTTAAGTCTTACATTTTACCATATCTATCTAACATTTGATTGTTTCTAGGCTAAAGCGAGGGTCAAGAAGGCTGAGAGGACTCTAGCAAAAATGCAAGATGGTTTTGAGCCAGCAGATCTTCCAAATGATTTGGAAACATTAACTAGTGAAGAGAGATTCTTGTTCAGGAAGATTGGTCTTAGTATGAAACCGTTTCTACTTCTGGGTAAGAATAGCAAATTCTTTTAAAATTCATGAAAAGCTTCTCGTCTGTAGAACATTTATTTAAATATCTAGTTGTCTGATGCATGGCATTTTTGTTTCAGGCAGGCGAGGTGTTTATTCTGGTACCATAGAAAACATGCATCTACATTGGAAGTACCGTGAGTTGGTAAAGATAATTGTGAGTGGGAAAAATTCTGCCCAAGTAAAGCATATTGCAATATCTTTGGAAGCTGAAAGTGGTGGGGTTCTAGTGTCTGTGGATAAAACTCCTAAAGGTTATATAATTATTGTTTATCGTGGAAAGAACTACCTCCGTCCACGTTCTCTGAAACCTCAGAATTTGTTATCACGAAGGCAGGCATTAGCTCGATCAATTGAGCTTCAAAGACGTGAGGTAATCATGCAATGACATGGGGATAAACGCTGAACTGAGACCTTATATGTATTTGTTCTTTAATCTTTTTTGCACATGTTTCCAGGCACTAAAACATCATATCATAGACGTAGAGGAGGAGATTGAGTTGCTGAAATCTGAGCTGGTAGTGCTTTTTATTGCTTCCTAAATATCTTTGACATGCTTATATTGTTAACTTTATTTTATTCTTTTTACATTTGCTTGCATATGTTTTGCTTATTTTAGGATGATTTGAGAAATGGAAAGAAGATTGCCGATGAGGAAACTGTTTATTCAAGACTGGCTGAGCCTAATTTTTCTGATGACGACTTGGAAGAGGTATTTTTATGAGTTTCTTTGTGTAAACTACAGATAAGGAGGAAAGAAACTTTACCTAGATTGAAAAGTATAAAACTTATTACAGCTTTTTTTTTTTTAATGGAAATGTTATTACATTTTTTAGATGGCTGCTATCAAATTGTTTTAATCATAATAGTTTTTCATGCAGTTTACTGAAAAAATGCTGGTAGCAAAGTCTTGCTCTTTTGAGGTTTTGTCCTAATTAAAAAAATAAAACTCTTCGAAAGTAATTTCAGGAGTTGACTCTTGTCGCATTTTGCTGTGTTTTGAATGCTTTGATACGTTTACCTCTTTGAAAACTCTAAACGCCGCGTGTCCAATGAAGTCAGATGCTTCTCCTTCTTCCCTTAAATCTGATCATTCCTCTGTTTTCATTGGTCAACCAGAACGAAGGATCAGAGACGTACTCTGACAAGTATTACAGCAGTAGTGAGGATGAGAATATTCAGGAGGAGGAGGAGGCTTGAATTGGTATAGTGCTGCATTGCATTGGTTAGCTGGGGAAGCTCAATTTTGGTAGCGTGCGTATCAGTCAATTATGTAGTTTAAACTACTGATCGATGAACGGGATGATGGCAGAAACTCTTGAGCTGTTATTTTCTTGAGGAAACTTTTTTATGATAATAAGGCAATTAGGTCTGCTGTCTGAACTGCTGTCATTCTATGTAAATATATTACTGTAAATATGTTTCGTTAATGATATGTGAAAAGTTTGTTTTTAAACAGAATGTAATTTTTTTTGGATTAATATAATTTTTAGCCCCTCATGTTTGTTCTCATTTTGGTTTTAGTCCCTCAAATTTTAAATCATAAGTTTTGGTCCCTCAAGAGGCAAAATGATTCAAATTTTTATTAGATTATAGGGAGTAATGTTTTAAATGAAAAGAAACTTGAGAAATCAAAACTATAGTTTAGAACTTGAGAGATTAAAGCCAAAATCAAAGTAAATTTGAAAGATCACAGTTTGAATTTTATTTTTTTGTTGGTAGGAAATGTGTGATGACCAAGGAACAAAAAATTGCATATTAAATCGGTTGAAGTAATGATTCAAAGATTAGTTGGTCGGACTAGGGTTAGTTCGGGATCAAACCGGTTATATTAAAATAATATAATTTAATTGAAAGTAACAAAATATAACAATATTAATAATCACTAATAAATAAAATTAATAATCATTGATAAAAAAATTATGATTAAAATTCATTCAAATTTATAATGACTAAATATTAGGAGTTAAATAAAAAAAAGATTAATAGCAACATAATCATTCAAATCTTTTTATTATTGTTTTTGACTGATTCACACCGGTTGATATCGGTTTAATTCCTAATCGATTCAATATCTAAATCAAATCAAAATCAAATCAGATTACTGGCTGATTCATTAGTTTTTTGTTTAAACCAGCCAATTCTGTTTTTTTCCCCCTTGTTAATGACACTAATATGTTCTTGGGCTTAAGCTTTCCCTCCTTATTGTCATACCACAATGAATTAAATTTGTATAATATACTAATAGTGGTTGGGTCTAACAAAAAAAATATTAGTCTTTACAATGTGGTATACTAAATATTGAATCCTCATTGCGAAAAGTATTAATATTTAGTATTTGATTGTCTCTAATATAGGATACTTATGCCTAGCCAAAAAAAAAGTTTGTAAAATACATAATTTACAAGTTGTAAAAAAAAAATACTATTCATTTTTTCAAGGAACAAAAAACCGGACTGAACACTAAATCGATTAAGGTAGTGGTTTAAAGGTCAGTGGGTCAGGATCAGAATCAACTTAGGATCCAACCGGTCATATTAAAATAATATAATTTAATTGAAAATAACAAAATATATTAAATTAATAATCACTAATAACGAAATATGAGGAAATATGACAATAGTTTGATCGTAACAATAACAAAGTATAACAATATTAAGAATTTTGATTTTTATGGTTCATCATTAACTAAAATTAGTAATTATTGGTATCAAAATCATTATTAAAATTCATTTAAATCTATAAGGGCTTAATACTAGGAGCTAAATAACAAAAAATAAGATTAATAACAACATAATCATCCAAACCAGTTTATTATTGGTTCACTATAGGTTCAACTCCTCCTAGTTTAATATCCAACCAAACCGAACTGGCTGGTTGGGTTTTCTTTTTTGTTCTCTGCATTTTTTAGCTGTATAATACAAGAGGCCCATATGATACAATTCACAAGTTGTTCTATGAGAAGGATGTTAATATGTTGCTTAAATCCTTTTCTACTCACCCTTTTTACCAAACATATTTTTTAAATACCAGACAGATAATTAATTCCCCATTCCCCTAAATTTACCATACCAATTTTAGTTGTATAAATTTTTTTCATTATATTTATAATTGATGTTGGAAATATTCACAAATTGTTGATACTGGGGCTCATTTCTCATGTATCATGGATTGCAGAGGGGTCCACCTAGTTAAAAAGCATTCATGAAAGATAAGTAAACTATACACACACGTTTTTTTTTCCCCTGGCCTTGCTGTAGCAGTTAGAGAAAATAAGAGAAGAATGAGTCGCATCTCTCTAGATATGTAGGTATTCATGTTGTATATTCTTACTTTACCCACTAAATTATATAGAATGGAAATTGGGAAAATGATGGGGGGGGTGTGGCAATAATCACAATATCCACTAGGATGTTAAGGGCAGCTTCATTCAGTAGCGGGGCAAATCAGCCAAGGCATAAAAGCAAGCAAGGCTCTGTCTGTTGCTTCTTTTTATTTTTATTTTTATTTTTTTGGGAGGCTAAGTACTGGTATTATTTTATTAGAGTCAATTTTGTTCGAAGCATTTTCGCATTTTCAGGCATTACATGTGGATATCTCTTCCAGTAAAAATTAGATTATGATTGATTACATTACGAGGAACTAACTCTTTTTATCGTTTGTATTTTTTTTTCTTTCCATGTTCTAGGTTGTAAATCGCATGTAGATCATGAATATTTTCCAGTTCTATGTTCATCTATGGGCCTAAATGATCCTCATATTCTGGGTTTTATGTCGTTTTGGAAATTTAAGAAGACAAAAATGCTGAGGCCCAGCCCACAAAATGTCACATTTCTTGCATTATTAAGGCCCACTTTATTTCATTTAAGACGTGTGAAAACTCCCAACGAATGTTTCAGATATAATAGGATTGTGCGTGTGTATGGTTGGTTTTACAACGTCAGTGGCCAAAAGTCAATTTGGTAAAAGCTCATTTGTGCCAATAACCTCATAGCTTAGTGGCACAAAGACTCTCTTGCTAATGGGAGGTCACGTGTTCCCTCTTGTTTGTAACTTGAAGCCAAGTTAATGAAAAAAATAATACTACCTCCGGTCCTAATTATAAGAGCCAGTTGACTAATTTGAAGAGATTAAGGAAGTAAGTTGAGTTAGTTACTTGTCCTAAATAAGTGTTGCCTTTTCTAAAATATCCTTATTAATCAAGTATATTGACTAGAACTATCATTGTTAGAAGGGCTACTTTGAAAAAAAAATGTATAAATATAAAAGACATAGTAGATTGGGGTCTTATATTTAGGACCAAAATAAAAGTCAAACAGGGTCTTATATTAGGACCGGAGGTAGTAATAGATTAAGGAAAACTCAAATATATGTGCTCTGCAAGAATTTTTTTCTTCTTCCATTTTTTCCTCCACTTAATGCCCTCCGGAGAAAATAAGCAGTAATAATTATATCTTGAAATTTGAAATATGACATATATATTTAAGGGAAAAATGAAATTTCAATTCAGCATAGGTCAAAGGGATGGAGAACATAACAATTAACAAGTTGAACTTTATTGCCCCTATAGTTAAGTAATCACAGAATTCAACAAAGATATAGATAGCTAAGTACAGTTAGTAGATATGGAGGGATATTGAATTGAAATGTAGTGGCAGTTTAAATTTCAATGATATAATTATAATCCATCAGAGAAAGGGAATGTGAAGTGGGGATGATTCTAAATTGGGGGCTGAACCTTTTTGGCATCATTCATGAAGGGATGATTACTGGTAGTTTACCCAAATACAAGAAAAGGCATAGAAGAAAGGTCAAGTGAGAGCACCAAACAAGTCGGAAACATTGAGCAACAAGGAAGCGTTGTGGTCCCTTAGAAGAGACAGAGAGCAATTAGAGAGATTTTTTGAACAAAGGCAACTTAGCCTTGGAATTGGAAGATACCAAAGAAACGTTCTTATGTTACGGCTCCTCCAACCCCACCATTGCCAAGTGGTCTCCTTGGACAATGACACGTTGGGATCTTGTGATTTCAAAAAAAAAAAAAAAAAGAGGTTGAAGACAATTATTTCTAATTAAAATTTAGATATTTCAAACCGATGCTTTCAATTATGAATAATTCTTTTGTAAGACTCGGAATCTTTTTTTGTTTGAAATATCAGAGCTAGTTGAAGAGTTTGTTTTGCTCTTAAATATAGAAGGCTAATCCATTCTGTTTTTTCAAATTTATAATTTTTTAAAATTATCTTTATTAATGACATATATTAAATGGGCTTTTTATTACTTATTCCGCTTTCAATTTCTTTTCTTATCACAAAATAATTAGGTTTATTTTGAACTTGACAATTATGTTGGAAGAGGTGGAGGAGGACATGAAAAGTTCCCTTGCCCACCCCTATATGGATATGAAATGGTTTTTAATTAGTATATGCTAATTGTCATTTGTTAAATTCTTTTTAACATCAGAAAGATTATCACATGGCCTCTCAATTTTTATCTATAATAAAAAAAATAAACTATTATTAAATCTGAACTGTTTAATTTTAATTTTAATGATCTAGATCTATGACTAGCATGCTATGCTCATCATCATTTATGACGAGCATGTTCTTTTCCCCCCTAAATTCTACATACTCATATACATTATATATGTAAAAGCAAAAAATACAAAATTATGAAATTATCTCAACGCAAACCTAAGTGATGCTGCATGTGCCAAGGAAATTCTAGAAAGGCATCTACTTGTAATCCTACTTTCAAACAAACACATGTGATGCTAACACTACTTTTCATTACCTGCCATCAAACAATCACATGGGAGAAGAACTATTCGCAAAAACTTTGTATATTTCCCTCTGGCGCATAATATATATATATATATATATATATATGCACACATTTTGTCCTGTCTTTAGTATAAGAATTAGTTTAACTTTTAATTTAATCTTAAATATAATAATTTAATCTATTTTGTCTCTCATATTTATCTATTTTTTTAAAATAGTTCTTGTAATAGTTACACATATTAAATATTGCATTAAATAATACACATGGCTAGCAGGGTATTTTTAAAAGAATAACTCTTATTTATTATAAATAACTAACTAAATAAATTTTTTAATCTACTTAAATTAGTCAACTGATTTTTATATTAAGGATTAGATATGGTGTATTCACAAATGCTATGACAGGACATTGTTTACCTTTTGAGTTTTCAAATTAGTGAAGGCCATTTCTAATAAATCCTTTTAGTAGGATTCTCTTGGTTCAGTGTGATTTAACAAAACAATTGTAAGAAAAGAATCATTTGTATTAAACTAATTAGATTATGTCATTCTTAATCTATCCATACTGACTTAAAAAATTAATACTAAAATTCATAATCATATTTACTTTCATGTATAATTAGGAGGAAAAAATGGCAAAGTGGGACCCACTCAAGTGGATTCCACGTCCGCATCTCTTCTCTAAAAGAAGTTGAAGAAAAAGAAGAAATATGCAAT